CCGGCTACTTTTCTTTGGGGTCTTTTTACCCTAACTGCCTAGCAAATTCCTACCTCCTATTCTTATCACACCACCCTCTGAAGAGGTTACCCAAATTGTCAATAAGGAATCGGGACACAGACTGCTCTGGCTTCTTCCATGTTGATCAGGGATGCAGAGTGAGGCAATTGGAGTACCCCTTCAGTGGGTCTACCTAAAAGACTCCCAAATTGCATAACTATTATCTCTAGGGGGAAAAGAAAGTCCTTGAATCGTGAATAGGAGATGTAAAGAAGTAAAGACAAGAGTAGTTGGCATTACAAGTTCTAGTCAGGGAACTAGAACTAAGTCAGAACAGGGCAATTTTCAAATGTTCATATGAGAGTCCATTGGAATTTCTTGACAAGGGTTTCCAAAAGTGTCTCTTTTGGATTCCTCCTCATTTTCCTTTGTTTTCCAAGGCTGGACTCTAGACTAAAGTATTTACAATTTAATATCAGGTATTTTGATAGCTGTTGAGTGGTTAGAATCAGTGTCCGTTCCCTCTCAAAGGCTTCTAGATAGGGGGAGAAAACAAATTTATCTATCATTTTAAAACAACAGCTGGTTGTCTCCCTTAGCTACAGGTGGGGACTACAATATTGAGACCAAGATTTGAAGTCTTACATCTGAGCAGCACTTTCTGGTTAGGAACAAGATCATCAATGAGAAATAATTGTCTAAATAAGTTTTTATATAGACTTAAGCCTAATGTTTGGGAAGTGTATTCCCCTGAACGCTTAAAGAAATATACTGATGACTTTACTGTTTGGTTATACTTTCCTTTTGGGTGTTTAAGACCATACAGTTGGACCAAATAAATCAATTTGTTTTTACACTTAAGGTCATTTAAGGATCTGTTCCTCAGGGGTCACATGGGCTTGGGAGGAGTCCTGGCTCCTTTCTTTTACCAGTTCCATCTATGTGAAGATAAGTCAAAAGTCCTGTTCGACCATGTCTGGCTTCACTTGGAAGCATGAATGAGATATTTTCTCAGAGTTGACCCTCCTCTTTGTAGACTGGACACTGGTTCAAGTCCACTTCATGGGGTCTCCTTGCCCTCCCTGAAAAAGAGGACAGGTGACTCACCACAGTTACTGGACATTTTGACAGATGTTCCATAGTTACCGGAAACTTAGTTGACCTTGAAGTGCAAAAAATGTCCTTTAAGGGCAAAAACTGTTCTTTAAGTCCCTCTGACCACATTAGTATAGACCTCAAACTATGGCTATTAAACATCCAGTAAGGTTAGTTCCACCAGTCTGGTACTTTTAATTATCATGTGCTATATACATAAAGCTTCAGTAAAAAAACAAATATTCTCAGATAAACCTTAACTAGATATATATTTTATTTCTTAAACTATTTGACTAAACTATGACCAAAGAAATTTTAAGATTATGTGTATATTATTTTCGTCTCATCCTTTATATATCATAACAAACCTACGCAGATCTTCATCACTTGCTTAGGCTTTCTCATTTTTTCTATTTTGGAAAATATCTCCATTCCCATATCCTTTTAACGTTTACACTCTCATTTTCTTTTTTTTTCAATAATTATGAGACATAATAACATTAACAAATAAATTTTCCATCTGTTGTGAGACTTCTTTTCCTGGGGATTCTAAGCAATGCTTATTCCCTTTTAAGATTCTAGTGTCAAGCCAATGTTTGATTAAATTTTTACTGGGGGAACCAATGAATTTATTGAGCTTACTCAGCAAGATAACTGAGGGGTTGCTGAGGTGTATGTATGACCTGATGATATGCACTCTGGAAAGCCTTCGCCCAGCATGAGTTATGCCTTTTCTTCCTAGCCTTCCCCAGATTGTATACTTTAGCCCTTCCCAAATCCAGGAGGCCATGTGTGATCAGGACAAATTACATACAGTTGGCTTGGAAGAGTGTCTGGATAATCCAGTGAAGGTCCAATGACCCTACTTGGCCCTCCTTTAATGAATGAACACAACTGTCAACAAGCCCAATGGTTGCCATGTTTAGCGATCAGGCTCAGCTGAAGTCATGATGACGGTAGTTATTTCATGCAGAAGGGACTGCTGTATAGATCATCTTATTAAAAGGACCTGGAATTTAAAAGGATTTGGTGCTAGGATCCACATATGAGGGAGAACATAGGGCGTTCATTTTCCTGAGTCTGTGTTATTTCACTTAGTTTCTAGATCCATCTGTTTACCTGAAAATTTCATTATTTCATCTTTCTTTACTGCTGAATAGAACCCCATTGTGTAAATATACCACATTTTTTTAATCACTCATCAGTTGAGAGGCACTTAGGTTGCTTCCATCTCTTAGCTATTATGAAAAAAGAAGCAACAAACATGGTTATACACGTGTCTCTTAAATAGGATGAGTTCTTTGGGTATATGCCAAGGAGTGCTATAATCGGGTCAGATGATAAGTCCATTTTTAGTCTTTGAAGAGTTCTCCACACTGTTTTCCACAGAGATTGCACGAGTTTGCAATCCCAGCAGCAGTGAATGAGCGTTCCCCTTTCTCCACATCTTCATCAGCATTTGGTATCATTTGTTCTCTTGATCCTAGCCAGTCTGAATGGGGTAAGGTGATACCTTATGGTAGTTTTACTTTGCATTTCCCTAATTACTAATGACGTTGAACACTTTTTGAGATGCTTCTTAGCCATCTTTATTTCTCCCTTTGAGAACTCTCTGTTTAGATCTTTAGTCCATCTGTTAATTGCATCATTTGGTTTCTCAATTCTTTGTTTTTTGAGTTCTTTATATGTTCTGGATGTTAAACCTCTATCAGATGTGTGAAGATTTTTTCCCCATTCTGTGGGTTTTCGCTTCACTTTTTTAATTGTTTCTTTTGCTGCACAGAAGCTTTTTAGTTTAATGAGGTCACACTTGTTGATTACTGATCTTAATTCCTGAGCAACTTCTGTCG